AAAAACGTAAAAAACCACTGTCGGCGACTTGAAAAAAAGGCTGTCAGGTGCCGTGGCCTAGGTTTCTCACTGAAAATCCTCGTCCCCCGGCGGCACCTTTTTTTGAATTTTCTTCCTTTTCAACGCCGTTTTTCGGGGATTTCGGATTTTCTTTGAATTTTTTCGCAATAATATTTGAAAAATAGATAAATTTTAACACATTTTAATGCAATAAAAATTTTTGGTCGGAGTCCCCCTTTAAATTCTTACACAATTCAAATTTTAGTACATTATTCCGGTATCTGTGCATTTTTAAATTTTGGACCACTATTTTTTCTTGTGACCACTAAACTTTTTTGAAACCTCTAATTTTTTTGGGACCTCTATTTTATTTTGGGACCTCTAATTTTTTTTCGGACCTCTATTCTTTTTTGGGACCTCTAAACTAGAAAAGAGCCGAATTTTTTAAGGGATAGCTGAATATTCAAAGTTCAATTTATATATACGACTTCTATAGAAGACAGTAATTTTATGAACCGACAAAAATACGAATATTTTTTAAGATTTTAATTCCGAGAAAACTCTGCCGGTAAGATAATTTTTGCCCTTTTCAGCTTAAAGGATTACGTAAAAACGATGCAAGGGATCACCGAAAAAACAAGAAAAAAAGAGATGATAAATTTCTCTGATAGTGAGCTCAATATACACAAGTCGAGAAGGCCTTACTTTTGGAAGCCGTGTCTTGTCATGAGCAGGTTAGTTTTCGAAAGTCTGGTGGACAAAGAAACATGCGTGAAATTGCAGGCTTTCAACCGAATGTGTCATGACCCGATTAAAACGATTCAAAAATTTGGGATTTGTTGTATAAAACAACTGCTCTGATGAATTTATTTGGATTTGCAAAGATTTGAGTACGGAAATTATATTGAAATGGCTCAAGTAAGTTTATTATCGACATCACAAAGCCAAAAACTTCTTTTTTCAGTTAAATCAACATTCATTTCATAAAGAATATCCATCTTATCTACAACCGGAAACTATGACAAGAGAATTTTCAAAATCGAAAATATGGACGAGAGGAAGAATTCGAATTGAGTTTTTTTCACTTTTTCTTATCTCATAGGTCCCATTATTCTCGCTGATCTCATCGTTTTCTTTTTTGCTGATCCCATTCATTCATTTGTATCACACCCCTCATTTTCGTTCCGATTTCCTATATCTACATTTTAATCAATGTTTTTCTTTTTCTCATACTTGTTCTGTTTTCTTTTTTAATAAATTTTATTATAAATAAAGTGAATGGCGTTGAAAAGAAAACAAAATTTGAAAAGCGCTCGCTACGATGCTCCGAAATCCCGCTGGTCTGTTCGGAATTAGATCTAATTCGTTCGTAGTTCATTCGGTGTTCGTTCGGAATTAGATCAGCTAAATTCTGTATTAGATCATGCCACTTCTATTTACGAACGAACCCAGATCTAATTCCGAATGAAGTCAGATCTAATTCAGAATCGTTTACCTGACGGTGCAAAAAAACATTGACTTTTAATGTCATTTTCTCTACTTCTAGAACGACGTTCTTCGTTCTAAGAACGTTTCAAAACATGAAATTTGATGGGTTATGCTTAGAATTGAATGAAATTTCATATTTCAGACAATTTCTCAATAAATTTGTTTGCATTTTTGAATAAATCTCCCATCCAAGTAGTGGAAAAATTCAAAAATTAGACAAAACAATGTCCAAGAAAATGTGTCTGAAATATGAAATTTCAATCAATTCTAAGCATCATACATCGAATTTCATGTTCTGCAACACCCTAGAAATTGAGAAAATCGTCTTCGAAAATCTCTGTTTTTACACTGAAAACGCGATTTTTGGTATCGAAACTGATATAACTCGGCTGAAAATGATGAGGGTATTCTGAAAATTTCATAAAAATTTGGGTTTACAAGATGTTGAGGCTCTCATGTCAAGTTATAGGAACACAGTAACCCGATAGTTTTTTCAGGCTTGAATGATTACTGTACAACTTCTGAATTTTTTTTTCAATTTCATGAAGGCTGAGTTGAATAGCAAGAACCCATTTCTGTTTTCAATTCTTTTGATGTGAATATCATGTTGCCCTTACAAAGAAAATAAATGTTTATTTTTGTTTCTTTTTCAAAAAAATGCAAGAATGAAAAAAGTGCGAACACTATGTCTATTAATCAGAACTGAAACAGTAATGAAATGGGAGACAGAGAGAGGGAAAAAATGAAGATGCATGAGATTTTGTGGAACAGAGAAAAAGAGGTTGGATGAACTGAATCGGACGAAGAGAATTGAGAAAACAAAATTCAAGGAAAGGGGACAACTCGTACTAGACACTGTAGACTTATTGATGGGGATTATCAAGAATTCCATGGGAAAAAATAAGAAAAAAAATCTTCTTGATGCACGAAACAATGGCTTAACATAAAATAATCACTGGAAGAAAGCGAGGATAAGGATCCAATAGGATTTTTGGAAAATAAGGAATGACTGTAAAAATGGTATCCTAAGTTCAATTGAGTGGTTGTGACCGATGGAGAGAGAATTCGGGGAAGAATAGGAATGAAATGGATGTATAAATTAAGAGAAAAAACGGAAAAATATGGCAGTTTGTATGACTTTTTATCAATCATCAGAATCATCTCCTCCATCAATAAGCCTGTAGACGGAACATGATGGCTCTGGCTCCTGAGATACTTCAAACACAAAACAGAGGACCATCAGCAGCTCATCGGTTTCACTGTTTGTTACAATCTGAAATTTATTTGAGCATTGGTTGCTGAAGAAAGAGATTAATTTTTACCTGTAGCACTGTGAAGTTTTCTAGTACGTTGTTCATCGTTTCGATAGCATTCAGCTTCTTCAACTCAGCAATGAACTTCACCATGTAATCGCACATTGGCGAATTGTTGAGCATGAATGAGTATGATCCATCGACTTCGATTGGGAAGTATTGCTGAAAATTTATATAATGTTTCTATTCAGTAATTCATCGGCATTCGACTACAAACCTCAATCTTCTCAACAGCTTGTGAGCCAAATGAGCATGCCATCGTTGACACTTTCAACTGGAATTTCTCACGACTTGCGTACAAAGAATCCACAGCGTATTGGCAGTTTCTGAAAACTATCAGATGAGAAGAAAATTTGAGAGAAAAAAGTGTTTAAAAACTCACTGAACATCATCTGACACGTTGATATTCGCCCAGCACTTGGCCAAGAAGAAGACATCTTTCCTTTCAGCTTTTTCGAAAAGTTCGCGAAGCAGCCTTGGATATTTCTCGTAGAACAAAGAGATATCAATGTGATCCTTCTCCAAAGTATTGTCAATCTTTACCAACTCTGTCCTTTCCAGTGTTTTATTACATTGAACGTAGGCTGAGAATCCGTGAAGTGATAATTTCGATGAAGCGATTTCTCTGCTTGGATCCGCAATTGGAGACATTGGTTTCTCTGGCGTTGAAGCTGGTTCTGATTTCGGTTGAACAACAAGTTGGGATAGATCCATTCCGAACGGGAGGCCAGTTCCTGGGAACGATGACCACAAATTTGGAAGCGCTGAAAATATAATTTCTCCAAAAAAGCTGATCAACTTAATTCTTACTCTGCAGAAGAATTTGTTGAGAGAGCTGATCAGTTGGCTCAAGTTTTGGAATTACAGATGGATAATTGCTTCTTGGAGCAATCGCAGCGGCGGCAGCTACAGCAGTGGCCGATGATGGAGGAAGAATCACCGCAGATGGAGATTTGACTCCGGGAGGTGAGGCTTGTTGAAGAAGACTTGGGATGTCACCCTGCAATACTTTCAAACTGTTATAAACTTTAAGATTCCAATCAAAAAATCTCACCTTCTTTTTAGCCTGTTCGTCTCGAAGTTTCTTCCTAGCAAGTACTTGAATATGCGATGACACTTGTTTCCGAGTTCTCGTTTTTCCACATCGTAATTTGATATACCTAGCAATTAATTCGTTCCTTCCTGCAAAATAATATAGATTCAAAAGTGAATAAATTTTGCTGTCAGGTGAAAAGTTTACTGGAACCCAATATCGAAAACAACAGCTGAAAATCGATCTGACGCGCAAACAACGTCAATTCAGATACAAATTCAGAATCAGATGTTGAATATTTTGTAAAGTGATTCAGAAATGTAAAAATTTTGGCCCTAGGCAGGTGATTAGAGTAATTTGAAAATACGGGGTCTTGAAAGTGACGTTTAGAGAAAAGAAACCACAAAAATGGGTTTTGTGCTGTTCTACAGTATCTCAAAAAAGCCTCCGTGTAACTTTTCGGAAAAAGTTTTTTTTGGAAAGTCAAACAAATGTGTGCAAAAGGTTTTTGTTTGTTGCGCCACAGACCGCTAGACAACTAATTTCGTTCCTTGTGACGTGGCAAAAGAAACAATAGTCCAGTTGAAGCTGTTTAGGTTTGCAGGGATTTCAGATCTCAAGTTGATTAGAACAAATAGAGTTTGTTTCCTATAACGCTCGAGGTTCCAAAAGGCCTGGTCAGAAATCGCGCTCCAGCAAACATGTCTTTTCATTGGCTGAGTATCAAACGTACAACGATGAGCAAAAAATCGCGCGTTGATTAAAAATACATAGGTCAAACCCACGCCCACTTTGAAATTATCGTCTGGCCTAAAATTTATCTGGGGCGCGATTTCTGACCAGCGCTTTTGGAACCCTGTGACAACGCTCAATTAGTTTTTTTGGTTCATCGCCAAATTAGTTTAACCTCATTAGAATATCTCACATTAAATTTCAACCATTTTGAAATTATGCTTCTCGTCAACCCCTTGTTCAATAAAATATGTTCCAACATCACGTTCAACAAAATAGGTTTCTGTTGATTCAAGTTGCGAAAAAAAGTTGTTCAAAAAGTCAAGACTCAGAGAAAGAGAGAGCCGCCCGTTTGGGATTTTGGGTTTCCCGCAGCGAAAATAAACAAATAGATGAGGAAACGAGTAGGTCCACTGGTGGCACAAGATGGGGGTCTACACTAATCCCTGCACACTACTACCTTTTGTCGGTTTCTGTTCCTCTAAGTTCAATCCGTTTACATCATAATAAATAATAAGAAAGTTTCTAAAGTCTATCCCGCTGGGAGAAGGACCCGAAAAGAGCAGATGTTCAAAGAAGGAGGAGGCAGATGTACAGTAATGCCCCTCCACTTGGTGATTCCTTCATTCAGTAATTATAAAATAGAGGACACTTCTTCTATTCAGGATTTCATCTTTCTACTCACCATACATTTTCCCTTCGTCACTTATGATGATTTTCCGTCGTCCGCAGGGTGGATAAATGGCTAAAGCTTCTTGAAACGCCTGATCAATATCTACACTCCATACACCTTCTGCATCACCTGAGATATCAGTTAGAGACGTTGATTCTGGAGCCATTGATCCTGCGGAGCCTGGACCGTCGCCGGCGGGAGGGGATAGCTGAAGAGAAATGCGATTAAGAGAATTGAAATTAATTTTGGAATGAAATAATTGGACCACTGTAGAACCTGTAATAGAAGGGCCCTTACTTTCAACGTTGAGCTAATTTATCTGGCTTCATGCATGAGATATCATAAAGTGGTTAACTGATAAATTGTTTATTATGATATCATAAATACTTTATCAGTCGACCATTTTTTTCGCGTCTTGCATAGGAGTCAAAAAAAATCAGCTCAAACTTTACAGTGTGTGGGGGCCCTTCTATTACAGGTTTTACGGTAATCGAAAGATCCGAATTCTATATACAAACTAGTTCTGTACTAGGAAAAAGTTAACTGTTTATTGAATTTGATTGATTCGATGTTTATTAATAGAATGTCAACAACTGGATTCGCTAAATTATCAACTACAAAGTTTTTTCTGTAAATCTATTCCAGCTCAGAAAAGATATTTTTTAACTAGGAAAATTTTTAACTAGGTTGACTTAATTGGAGAAAACGGGGAGGATCTTTCTTGTTATCAACGTACATACTAAACTGATATGTTTTGTTATATTTTTTGATCTTTACCAAGCTTTTAAGTCAATAAAAAAAGAATCTCGATGATGAGAGCTCACAGAGAAAAAAAGGCGGAAAAAATTGTGTTTTATCACAAACCGTCATCATTTGTCCACCAGAGGTCGTCGTGGGCGTTGTCGTTCCTGCTGCTCCGGCGAGCCACTCTTTCCGAAAATGATTATGGGGCGGAGTTCTGGAAAACAGAGATTCTACTTTATTCTGACACCTGCTCTCGCTGAGGATGAGCTTGGAGCTAAGCCCCGCCCACAAGTGAAGAAGAAGACACTCACCCATTGAGAATGGCACTGACTGCGACGTCTTCTGACATCTGAAATGTGAAAAAGTTAAGAGAGTGAAGTCTACCGTAATCCATCAAAAAAGTGACTGGCAGGCGGTAAGAGATATGGAAAAAATAAGAGGAAATAGGAGTTTCGTTTTTTTTCTATTCATGTGTTCGGTATCTAAAATTACAATCTGGCTCTTCTACTAAAGAAAGAGCAGATCCCTGAGGAAGGAAGGTCTTTTTATCTCGAAAGATGAGCAAAATGTGATAATGTCTAGCAGGGGAACGTGACGTGGAATGTCCGAAGCGGAGTACTGAAAGTTATTGTGTCACATGACAACAATTCAAATCAGTAAAGTGAAGAGAAACAGACACGGAAAAAGGAAATTGATAAGGAGTGATGGGTAACTGTGTTGTGCCTCGTTTTTTAGAGAAGCAGAGAGAGAGGATAGAAGAGAGCAAGATGGAAATAATCGATGAGGTCTGATTCATCTCTCTTTCTGCAGAAATATAAAATGATGGGGTTCAATATTTTTGATTGAAAAAATAAAAACGGTAGGGTGAAGATCTTGTTTTCCAAAGAATTGTGTAGGAGAGAAAGATGGAAGAGAGGGAGGGCATTGTTTCTTTTCCAGACGGTCATCATTGTGTCAAATGAGTAATCGTTGAAAAAGAAAAAGAAAAAGAAAGAAACAGTGGAAGTAAAAACTGTAAAAGAAAAGGTTACGAAACAAGGTGACTATTTTCAGACTACGCTGATTGTGAAAAAAAAAATTTCGGAAGTCTGAAAAGTTCAAAAAATCATATTTGAAATTACCGAGAGGGGCATTTTCTGAGCCTCGTGCTATCTACTATCTTTTTGACTTCTGAATAAACAAATTACAATTACAATTATTGATTGCTGAAAATAATCAATTAGGGTCAACCTGAATTAGGTCGATACATACTGATATCTGGACTTTTCAAAGGTTTGAATGGCACAGATAAAAAAAATTAATTCGTGCATCAGTTACCGTAAACACTCGAATAGAATGCCACATAAAAACGGCAAGCAGAGGTATAAAAAGTTGTCAACTGATAAGTTGTTTATCATAATATCAAAAATATTTTATCAGTTGTCAAATTTTAGATATCTTTCACAGGAATCGAGATGAGTGAGCTCAAAGTTGATGGACTGCTTGACTTTCTATTAGAGTGTCTAAGGTAGATTGAAGACGATGTTCAGATTACATTTTTAAGCTGAAACCAAGACAACGAATACTATGGGCTCAGAATTCTCATAAAGTGAAAAAAAGTTCCCAGAAAATGAGATCTGCTTCAAAACCACCCAGATCAATGTATCGCTAGACAGCAACCTAGTCAATCAAAAATCGAAAAAAGGAGAACATGGTTGAAAAGTGGTGGCAAAGAACACCCCGTAAATGGTTTTCCTAACAGGTCTTTTTTGTCTGTTAAACAAATAAACCAGACTAAATAAATGAAGCTTTTTGGGCAAGAAACTGACAGGTGGGAAAAGAGAGAGAGGCTAATGGAATAATTAGTGATACTTAATGAACATCTAAAAAAGTGGAAATAAAAAGAGAGTGGAAGCAGGAAAAAGAAAAAGATAGTCACTTCAGAATATAAGAAGAAAAAGGAGAAAAGCGTTGAGAATGACTCATCATCATTCGGAGGAGAATGGATCGTCCAGATCGAGGAAGGAGAAAATAGAAAAGAGATGAGAAGAAGATAAAGTTTGGAGAGAGAGTAGAAATAAAAAACCGAACGAGTGAACGGCGAGAGAAAAAAGAGATCAGTACCGTGACGGATAATTGTAGATTTTTTAAGCTTAATCTAGAAAAGTAGGAAATTCAATAGGGAAGATGGGGTTCCCGTAAACACTCTAATAGAACGCCACTCCAAACCGTAAACTTTGAGCACATATATGTCATTTTCTGTAGAAGATATCAAAAAGTGGTAAACTAACAAAGTATGTAGCATAAAATCAAAAATAGTTTGTCAGTTAACCACTTTTTGATATCTTTCGGAGACACTGACAAATGTGAGGTAAATTGGCTCAAAGTTGAAAATCAGGAGTGGCGTTCTATTTAAGGTAAAATTAGGAGAATGTTTAGGGTAAAGGGGAATCCAGCCAAACATTTTTTTGCATTTTTTTGCATTAAAAATGTTTCTGTTATGTATTTATGAAAATTGAAAAATTGAAAAAATTGTGAAATTTTCATGAAAAAAACAGCGCCAAAAGTGGCCGTGGACTAGGATTCTCGAAACCCTATTGGACGGGAAATTACAATATCGACGGTTTTTTTCAAGGATTTCGAATTTTTCCTTAATTTTTTCAAAAAAATATCATGAAAGTAAATAACTTTGGAAACATTTTAATGCAAAAATTACAAGAAATTTCTTGTTTGAGCCCCTTTAAAGGAGATTCAGGAGGAACAACAACATCACAATGATTCAAAACAAAAAAAAGATATTCCAAGATGCTGGTAACCGTACCTACCTCATCCACTATAGTATGTATTAAACTATTATGCTTGCAACCATCTGTCCGTAACTTATCATAATGTTTACAAATGTGCTCGATGGAACTCCTTCCCCTCCTACCACTAATTATGCAAATATTCTGTCGAGATTGTTTGGTGGTCGAAAAAAATATGTCAAGCCCAATACACCCGTGTCAATTTGATTGACTATCCGTTTCTCGCTCGAGGTTAATTACTCTTGGATTGACCCTGGGTGTTCCTCTTCTTCCACAGTTGTCAGTTATTCAAATTAGCTTATGTTCATAGAAGCACAGATTTCGAGTCAGAAAACGAAAATGAAACTGATTGAGCATGGGGGAAGAAGATTCATGAGATGAGAGGGAGGAAGAAAACAAGAGATATCTCTGTTGATGATGATCATGATAGAGACAGGCCAGCTGTTCGACACAAATCGATAAAATCAAATCAGTGATAAAAACCTTGAGACTTAGAGTGTCAGGGGAAACTCTTTTCTTCATGTCATACGAGAAAACTAGGCGGTCTTTATTCGACTTCTTATTCCACGGCTGCTGGGTGATATTGCGCCAATGTGTTCCTCTCTCCGAAAATGGTGACCTTCGTTGAAAAAAAGTACGAGAATTATGAGAGACATAGACATCTCGCACAAGTTCTTCTCTGTCTCATCTTTTGGAAATACGTACGCACGGATGGACAAAGAAATCATAAAGTGGTTGTTTGGTGGTAAACGGGAAGGAACCTCAACACTTTCGACAAGATATTACAGAAGAAAGTAATCAAAATGGATCGAGGAGAAAAATAGTATGGATAATGAGGACATCGGAAGAGTGCTAATTAGAACATATTGGTAATTGAATTGCATATCTGGGAGAACTGGGAAAAGACTATTTCATGTTACAATTTTTCTCATCTACAACATTTTTTTTCTGCAGTATTTTTTAAAGATGGTATTCTTGCAGATGGGGTTATAATGTGGTAAAATATGCCTAACACTAAACCTTTACTAAAGGACCCTCTAACCTTTAACTTTGAGCCGTTTTTTCTCGGTTCCTGTCAGAGATATAAAAAGTTGTCAACTGACAAATCGTTTATCATAATATCAAAAACATTTTGTCAGTTGACACAATTTTGATATCTCTCATAGGAAGCAAGATAATTGAATTCAAACTTGTCTGTGAGGGGCCCTTCTATTACAGGTTTTACGGTATTTTCATATAATCTAGGTCAATATTTTTTGCGCATGGCCATGTGATATTCAGGTCATATGTTAACCGAAAACATCAAATTTGTGGTTTTTAATAACTAGATAAACACGACTTTGAGATCAAAAATGAAATTTCCAGCTAATTTAAACCCGTTGATAATTTCTGAAATTTTTAATTTCAAAGTTGGAATTTTTTTCAATTTTCGGGTTTTCTCGGGTTGAATTTCCGGCTTAAACAAAAGAATTTGCAGTTTAAAAAATTGAAAAATAAATGTTTTGGAATTTTAACTGTTTTCAGTAACTCTTGAGGATTTATTCCAACTAGTCTCACTTATAATCACATTTTGCAAGGAATTTGAAAGCTTTTTTCCAAAAAAAAATCACCTGCACAGGAGCATGCTTGAATTCGTCGGCAGTTTCAAGGCAAAACTAGACTAATTTTTTTATTTGGGAGATACTGTAAAAGGGTCACTTCAAACGAATCCGGAAACCCCAACCCTCTCATAACATGGAATTATTCTTCCGGGAACTGGTAAAAACGACCAAAAAGAGAGAAGAGAATAATGGAATGGTATGCAGAAAGAAGAAAAACAAGTGAAGAAATGCAGATGGCAGTAGTCCCTTCCCTTGCGGTCAATCCACCCCTCCGACCACAAACGGACAGATGGTTTTCGAATGGAGTGGATATTGGAAATAGTGTATGAAACGAAGGAGAATTAGACATTTTAGTGGGAGGGGGAGCACATGCTTGTGTATGTGCATAGGAAGGCATACAATCTATCACATTACTGTATTACCTCCCTTTCTGGGAAGCATCGGTCACGACCGGCCAATTCGGGTTCATGGTTCTTTGATAAACTGAATGAGGTGAGAATAAGAGGAAGGAGGGGAGAGGTAATAGGCATGAAGAAGCGGAAAATGGACTGTTTGTATGGTTCGGATGGCAAAAAAAGGCCATATTCGTGAATGTGGAAGCTGCCGTAACACTCTAATAAAATGCCATCCAAACATTAGCATTGAGCCTATATATCTCGGTTCTTGTAAAAGATATCAAAAATTGATTAACTGACAAAACATGTTTGATATTATGATAAAGATTTTGTCTGTTGGCTACTTTTGATATCTTTCACAGGAACCGAGATAAATTGGCTCAAAGTTAAAAATTTTGGGGGGGGGGGCTTCTATTGCCGGTTTCACGGTAAGTATACAATAAGTTTGAAAATGAATGCTGGAGTGTTGGTGGTTTCAAAATCATTTTTCGGTCCGGCTAGAGAGCGTTATCGACATTGTCGACAACTCTCAAGCTAACTTTAGTCTGAATCAAATTTCAAGAAATCTAA